GCAATGAAATTATAATTTCCCATATTCAGAGAGGCCCACATAAAGGGAGAAAGTCAAGGGTAAGAAAAAATGCTAGAAAATAGGGTACGAGTTCGTCTATATTGTAAGTTTGATTTTTTTATATTTTTTATTTTTTGTAGAGGTAAGTTGAGAGAACAAGAAAAATATTGTATAATTTTTTCAGAGTTTAATTGGTGTTGTCGACGGGACATATACGAACGCAGACATTTTGAGTCAGAGATGTACAATTAAACTTGCAAAAATGTTGTAAGGAATTTTATATTCGAAAATTTATGTGGGGTATGGCTTTTTCGGATGTACAATTTGAATATTTTTTATATTATATTCGATGTAAAATTTCTTAATAAAATGATGTAAATTATATTGAGAAATTTGTATAGCAAAAATAATAATAATTGATTTTTTTAAAAAGAAATATGAGTTAGATGCCTCTTTTTAAGAAGCACGTTTGATGAATCTATAATTATTTTCGAAATTCGTTTAGACTATTCGATATGTCTATGAAGTAACTCTCGAAACAAGTTTCGAGATGACATTGGCGATTTGTGGATTCGGCTATCGTATGATCGTCGAATAATTTTTTAAGTTAGCATGTTATCGAAATTCTCGAAATACTAGTTTGAAACGATCTACTTTGATAAGTCGTAACATTTATTACGATTGACCGTTTCGTGCATCATTAACAATGTAAATAATTAGGTCGTGAACATTTCAAAATGATATTATGAATATAATATTTCCACTTCGTTTGTCACTCCATAATGACTCCAAAAATTGAGACAAACATAGTAAAAAAAGAAAGGCCCCGAAGTTGGAGAGTCAAGTGACCCTTCATGCCACCCCTATGTCCGTCTCTGTCGATAGGTTTGAAGAACCATAATTAATTCATATTTTCCTTTTATTTTGTATAGTTTTTTGGTTTTCATTGCACCCGAATGATAATTTCTCGACAAATAGAAGAGAAGTAGGATCTAGGTGGTAGTGATATATAAATAAAGAAAAGGATTTCATGTACAATTCTACCCTACATAGCTTACGTTTGCTCTCCATTTTTTTAATTCATTATTCTCGAACTCATTTTTAACTACATATTTTCTAGTAAAAATAAATTTCACGATCAATAATTTTTCATTCTTTTTAATTACACGTTGTCGAAAAAAATATTTTTCACAAAATAATCTCAAAAATTCTTTACCAATTAAGGGCCACTTTTCAATTGTGGCTTCGTAAAAGAGTGAGTGGCATCGAGAATAACCCTCCACAAATTGGAGAAAAAAAAAATATAAGAGCTTGTGCATTGTACATCGAGTGTTCTAGTCTTGTGGGTATAAGTCGAGAGCAAGGAAAATATTGTTTATTGAGATTTTTCGATTTAATAAAATTTACTTCTCGTATGATCATCCACAATTTCTCGAATCATGTTTAATTTCTATTTTTTCTGACGGTCTCGTTTTTCACTTCTCATTTTTGTTGTGTTTCCCATTCATTGCACGTTTGGTGGAATTTTTTCTCTAGCAATCCTCAACTATGCCAAAAATGCATTTACATTAAAGCCCTAATAAATGAATATTCGATTAATTAATAATTTAGCTTAGATAATGAAAATTATCAATGGAGCCAATATACTAAATTAATAATCTTGTTAAATGCATAACATAATATAAACATTATGGTCATCTAGCATTATTCTTAAAATAAGGGTAATGCTATGGGTNATTATCAATGGAGCCAATATACTAAATTAATAACCTTGTTAAATGCATAACATAATATTATTTTAATGCCCTCATGGACCAACTAACATATTAAGTAATTCAACTCTCCTGAAAATATGCTTTTAAAGTAGATTGCTTTTTCTTTGACATCAATGTCATCATTAATTTTTTGTAATGCATATACCATATTTTGCATATTTGTTTATTTTGTAGAAAGTATTTATTTAAGATTACGATGTTTGAAATCACTGGCGTCCCCACATGGGGTCATGTGGGGTCAAATGACCCACGAATTTATTTATTTTTCAAGTTTTCCAGAGTTTTTTTTTTTACCTAAACATTTTTGAATTTTCATTTCTGACCGCATAAGAAAAATGGTATCGTTCCGCCCCTGTTTGAAATGTTTCTTTTAAAAAATGATTAATAAAAACAGTTATCATCCAAATAACGACCTTTCTCGGCATGTGTATTTAGTACTCGTTTAATAAAATATATTCAAGTAGGCTATTCAATCTTCATACTCTTTTAAAAATTGTTCTATATATATATATAGAACTATGTTTCTCGTGACAGATGAAAAATAGGTATGTTAAAATGTCAAGTCAGTTGGTGCAATCGACCAAACCTTTATAACAAAATTTACTCCATTAATCATGTGGATGTATAGATGTAGGCGTGGGGGGCAGGGGACTTGAGATGGTGCAAAATTCCACTGAAAAGGGACTACGGCCAAGTGTGATTCATCAATCATTTCAATCTTGACCTACAATTATTCTTTTTATAGGGCTATTGAAAGGACAGTATTATTTTGCCATATATTTGATAATATTAAAAATTAAATTAAATTATTCATGAATATTTAATAAAGTTTGGTGCGACCAATGCGTTATTGATTTCATATCGACAAATCGACATACAGATTTACTATTCAATTGAAATTGAGTTATCGTAGCTTTATTGTACACTAGAATTGTAGAAATGATACTTTCGAAACAACCATTGAAAAGTGCGCATATCAACTAAACCCTCTCCAACACGCAAGTCAATCGTTTAGTTGTTAAATAATGGGAAATTGTTGTATTTTCCACGTTTATTGTGATGTCTTATTAATGCGCACCGACAAAAAAATTAAATTATCAGTATTTATCGTGCTGGAGGCATGATATCTACTCACGATTATCATATCCATTTCAAGAATACTCGTTGAGAAGGGAGCCCTAATTTTCAAAATTATGTCAACACGAGCTTTCTTTATGACAAAACTCCAATATAGTTTTGTCTCAATTTCCTTCCTCAACCCCACCTCGTAACCCCACGACCCTATCCTTACACTATGCATCATTTTGTTGTTTTCCACTTACCATTACCTCTTTCTTGCCATCTAGTAATGTTCCATGTGCGGTAATATTATCTACATTAATCCATATTCTACTTAGAGCTCGTTCGGCATGGATGCTAAGACCTAAAAGTTACTTTTGAATTAAAAATTAAAATAATTTATTTCAAAAACTTTTCTACATGAAGTAAATGCAGAAGTAGAAATCATGACAAACGAGCCCTTATGATTCGTTTGACATGATTTTTGTTTTTACTTCCTTTAAAAGAGCTTTTTGAGGTCTTTATTTTCTGTTTGGAAACTAAATTCTTAAATATCTTTCTATTCCGAAAATGTTTTTAAAGTAAGTCACGTTGGATTAATTATCTCTAAAAGCTCTTCTAATTAAGTACTTTCATAAAATTAGTTAAACGGGTTCAAAAATAGTTTTCGTGTCTCAAAGCTCCTTTTGACTTTGCAAAAATTGTTTCAAACGAGCCCTTTAACATTCATCACAATTTAATATTAAATTTGTTATACAATTTAATCCAATATGTGAAATATCATAATTGATCTAATGCACGTCATAATTCTTCATAAGATATAGTCCATGTTTGGCGAAAATCAAAATCAAAATTTAAATTTAAATCAGTAATTAATTTTGAACAATGTTGTGGTACCACACCCTCCCTGATAGATCCCTCACAATGGGGGGGAGGGGGGAATTTTTTTCCTTTTCAATTCATACGGGTCCCGCGGGTCCCACTACAAATGTGAGAGGATGTCAACTAGAGTATCAAACTTCTTCTGATAAAATGGTTTAATCCATTAATTCTAACCACATATTTTATAAGAAACTCGTAATTTTTAAATCAC